GTCCTCAGGCTCTCGGGTTCTGATGTGGGCTTGTGCTCAGAGTCCCTGTTCCCACACCAGTCCTCCTGTCCACGCTGGGCCCTGCTGGCCACAGCCAGGCTCCTCTGGGCTCACTCTAACCTCACCTGGGGGTGCAGGGCTGGACCACGTCCAGCGTGCAAAGGTGAGCTGCGCAAAGCAGGGTGGATGTCATCTTGATTTAAAATTTTGATTTTTAATCATCATGGATTTGGGCATTAATTTTGGTTTTCAAAAATATTGCATTAAAATATTACCCTAATTACTGAGTTTTGTAGCAGCCCCTGAAGTTGTGTGACATTCCCTCATCCTGTCCCCACAAGTGGGAGTGGGGTCCACCCTCTCCTTCCTCACACTGAGCTGCACAGGTAATGAGGTCGAGGGTGTGTGTGTCTAGGAGGCACAGTGAGAGAGTTACAGGTTGAACCTGAGGCTTCCTTTGTGTCCCAGTCCCCAGCACTCCTGTCACCAGGGATAGGTTATTGCTGCCTCTTCTGCTCTCGCCTCCGCCTGTCCCTCTCCTCTTCTGGCCACCTTCTCACTCAGGAGGACCCTGTCTGTCTCTCAGGACAATTCAGCTTCCACCAGTGCTGACTGTTCCAACAGGCACGGCAGGTTCAGGGATCCAGGCCCACAATAATATTAGGAATCCAAAAAGATGTTATAATTTAGAATAACTATATCTCCCAAAGTGCATATAATGGTAATGAATATACATTAACAAACCAGCCTGGATTATACAAACCGTATTGCCAATGCAGTTGTGAAATATAATGTTTAATATGTTTTTATGGAGAAGTGGTTTACGAAGGCGATATGACCTAGAAAAGTCACACTGAGGCCCTGTCCCCAACCCCTTCCCCAAACCACAGCCTACCTTCTTTTGCTTAGACACTGAAAGGAGAGGAAAAGAGAGAAGAGATTCAGAGCTTGGAACTGGAAGATGGGCAGGTGCACATGAGGAAGACGTGGATGCGTTCAGAGAAGGCCCCGGCCCACGCGGTGAGACGGCCACATGTCCTCTAGAGGACACAGGCTCCCAGGGCACTGGCAGCTCCAGAATGACCTCGCCAGTGGGGAACATCCCAGGCGCCCACACCAGGTTTGCTCAGGTGGACGAGCCTGAGGCTGACATGTCACATCCACGCAGTTGAAAGGGGACCCTACCACAGCAGAGGCGACACACCTAAAAGCTTCTGACATTGGGGTGATGAAATGAATGTTTTCCAGAAAGGATCCAAAGCAAGTGTGAGGATGACAAGTAAGTAACTGGGGTCTTTGAGGCACAAGGTGCCACACCCAGGATGTCCTAAAGGCCACTAGGACACTCATGACTGTCCCCTCCACTGTCCTGGCTCAGTGGGGGCCCAGGACTTAAGGTGGCTACGGTGGGAAAGTAGATGAGGCTCTGAGTTGCTTAGAGGGACCATCCCAGGTGACTTTTGACAACCAGGAGGGAAGCCCGCCTTGGCCGAGGCCCAGGCGTGGGAAAACTGAACACTCAGAGCAGCCCTTAGTGTCTTGGCTGATGAAGGAAGTTCCTTCTGGACGTGGTTTGATGGGAGCTTATATTCTATGGGGGAGGTCTCCAGTGGGTCCAGGGGGAAGGAGTGGGTGCCGAGGCCCCAAGACAGGACCAGATGAAGAGGTGTGGAGACTGAGGACCAGGGCGGTGACACGTGGGAGGGACACTGGTCGTGAATGGCTCAGGCCCAGCACTGACCGTTCGAGGAATTCCTTGGGGAGCAGGAACCCGGCACGGGGACCAGCCAGGGCCCGGCCTGCAGCTTTAGGTGCTGGCTGTGGCCGTCTCCAGACCCCTGAATGAGACTGTGTGGGCCCAGGACTCCAACCGGCTGGGGTCATACGACCAACCTTTACAAGGTTAAAATAATCGAGATCATACACACTATGTTCTGTGACCATCACGGAGACAAACTGAAAATCAAGAACAAAATAATAACAGGAAAATTTCCAATTATTTGGTAATTAAGTAGCAGATTCCAAATGATCGGTAAGTAATTAAATACTTTTAAAAACCTCTGGTACAGGGTCTGACTCCAGCACTAGGCTGTGAGCTCTGTGCAGGCAGGGACAATGGTGATCTTAGTCAACACGGGGTCCTCATTTGTCACCACGCAGCGTCCGCACTCAGGAATCGCGAGGGGAGGAGGGGACACAGATGTCGGAGGCTAAAGGCCTGGTGGAGAATACACTGGGAACAAATCGTGCAGACAGAAACAGGAATCCGAGAGACCAGTTTGGAGGTCAGGATCATTGATACAGTCTCCAGAGTTTATGGAAAGAGGAGGATGGGGAAAGAGCCTATGGAATGTTCCTCCTACTTCTTCCCAGCACGGTCCCTAGGAACACCCTGTAGTGAGAGGCAGGGCCAGCCTGGAGCTGGAGAGAGGATGGCCATGCGTCTGGGCAGAAATGCACGGCGCCGGCTTTCCTTCCAACACGTGTGTGGATCACGGTAAACAGTGCATCTCACGGGATTAGAGTGCGTGACTTCTGAATGAAGCCACGTCTCACAGATGAAGTGAGCATGACGCAGTAGCCTGGGAACCTGGTCGTAGTAAACGTGCTTTCTTTTCTAGTTCTTGCCAGGATGACAGGACCAGAAATGAAATACAGTGTGTGCTTACAAGGATCGACAATTTCCAAAATAGTTTTTGGTCTAGCTAAGGATACTAAAAATAGAGACTAGGGAGCTATTTACCAAGCCAGTTTTCTTTTTCTCCTGGACACCCAGGTGTCCACGATTCCCAGGGAGTGTGGTCATATGACTGAGTAAAGGCCAGTCTCGATGGAATTTGAAGGACGTGATAATCACCTCCAATCTTGTCCATAAAACCGCCTCCCTGTCCCCTCATCTGCCAGCAGATGCAGAGATCCATTATAACTTTAGGCCCTAACCGATGCTGGAGCCGCTCATTAGAAGAGCCCGGGGCCCTGAAGGACAGCATGGCCTGCATGGGGCTGGGGTGTCCCGAAGGCAAGGCACGGGGTCTGCTCCAGGCCAACGGTCACTGTGAAGTGGGTTGACTGCATGGGTCACCACTCCAGCACCCTGCGTCTTGGGCTGCAGTTTCGACTTCTTGCCTGAATCCAGCGAGACAAAACACTCACACGAGTTGAGTGAAGCAACTTTACTGCTCACAGACAGGCAGCAAGGGACAGCAGAAGCCTAGGATTCATGATGAGCCAGTCCCCTTGAGGATCAGGAAAGCCGCCCAGCCTGAAGTAGTCTTGTCTGTGTGTGCCTTGCTTGCTCCACAGCGGAGGGACCCTGGAAAGCAGCCCACCCTGGGTTTTAAAACCCAAGTTGACGTGACATGTTAGGCTAAGGTATTGCAGGTCTTCCTGTTCTAGGAGGAACTGAAACAGAGCCAGGGCTATTTCAGCCAGTCCTGCCCTATCCAGTTTGTTGTGTTCCCAGCACATTCCACAATTATTCTTTTTTTTTTCTTTTGAGATAGAGTCTCGCTCGTTCTGTCACCCAGGCCAGAGTGTAATGGTATCATCCTAGCTCACTGCAACCTCACACTCCTGGGCTCAAGTGATCCTCCTGCCTTGGCCTCCCAGAGTGCTAGGAGGAACACTTTACACTTTAAAAATCACCGAGGACCACAAATATTCCCTCTGCCCCCCATGGTCAAACTTGACGCAAGGCTCTATTCGGCTTCTGGCTCCTAATTTCATCAGGTCAGGAGCTGAGGCCTTTCCTCTTCGAAAGCAGGGATCAGTCTGTCTTAGTGAACGGGAATTTCAGCCGCTACAGCCCTATTTCTTCTCAAGATTTCCCAGCTGGGGCTCTTTATTCCCCCATCAAAATGCCCCACTCCTTACTGGAAAAATGCACGGTCACTTGTCAAATGAGCCGGGGCCCATCTCTGCGCAGAGCCGCATTTTCCACATATCTGTGAGTCCATTCTCTGATTCCTGACTCTGAATCTCCTCTTCCATTTCCTCTCCCTTCAGTCTCAGTGAGACATGGTGGACAACGGTCTCTATCGCTGCAGGGTAGAGCCGGCATGGACCCCTCCCTGCTGGGGCCCAGCAAGGCTGAGGAGCTCTTGGATAATCACGTGTGTGTGTTTGTGATAAGCGGGATCCACCAAAGGGCCTTTGGCCTGAGCCTAAGAGTGTCACGGATGCTGAGGTACTCAGAAGGACAGTGGTGAGGCTTCATGGTGACTCTCGGGAATCCTTTGTGGGCCACTTCTCCACAAAACATGCTCAACATTATATTTTACAATCACGTCGGTATCACAGTGAACATGCAGCAGGCTGCATTCATTGGTATGCATTCATCCTTATTACATTTAATTTAAGATATGATTTTTTTTTTTATTATAAGTTTTCCTTGATCTCTAACAATGTTGTGGGCCTGGATCCCCACACCTGCTGTTCCTGATGGAAGAGTCGTCCAGTGGGAGCTGAATTGTCCTGGGAGACAGACAGGGTCCTCCTGGCTGAGAGGACAGCCCAGGAGAGGAGAGGGACAGGCTGAGGGGAGAGCAGAAGACGCAGCAATAACCTACCTGGTGATGGGAGTGCTGGGGACTGGGGCATGAAGGAGGCCTCAGGTGCAGTTTAAGAATCACTCATGATGTCTGATTCCTACACACGCGCGCGCGAACACACACACACACACACACACACACACACACACACACACACACACACACACAACCTCGACCTCATTGCCTGCACAGCTTAATGTGGGGAAAGAGACGATGGACCCGAGAGCCTGAGGACCTCAGAGAGGGTCTCGTGGGCAGCTGGTGGGATGAGGGGAGGGAAAGCACCTTCCAGAGGGAGGCCCAAGATTTGGGGGGTCAACTGAGGAAGAAAGTCCCTCCCTGAATCCTTCCGTGCCTGTCTGGGTCTGCCCCCAACAAGCACTCTGACATGGGAGGCCTGGAAAGCCTCTATTTTTATGGGAGAAAAGAAAGGAACTTTAGTGCTTTCCGGTTAGTTTATTGAAATGAAAATGTATGTAAGGTTTCAACAATTGTCTTGCAGTTTCCACTTAAAAGAACAAAAGAAGAAAGAAAATTGTGGTTTCCAGCAATCAGAAGTCAGGTTCTGACCATAGTCTGTCTGCAGTGTCTGAGCCAAAGGTCTTGTGGAAAGTTAAAAGGGTCTACACCACCTGCTGTCATATATTATTTGCTGGAAAACAAAAACAGACATGTCACTTAGATTTTCAATTCTCTCTTGCAAAGTCAAATATTGAAATCCAGAAACCTTTCTTCTTGCTGTTTTCCTGCATTTATCTGCAAACATCTAACTCCCAAGGAAATTAGCACTGGACACAAAATCAGAAGTATCTTATTAATACCTAAGAAGTGCTGATATTTCTGGATATTTTCCCTATTGGGGACTGCTTTAATACTTTTTTCCTCCAAGATCTCTGTTCTTTGAAATAATTTATCTAATAAATATACTGCATATATT